GGGGCAGCAGGAGCGTGTCCCCACGAGAAGCCCAGCAGCCTCCTTGGGCTGTCAGACCCCAGAGGGACACCAGCTGGGGCTCCAGCTCCTCCTCACCCTCACCAGGGGAGAAACAGCAGGAGTCACAGGCTTTCTCCCAGGCTTGGAAAGGAACAGGAAAGCCCAGAGCTTTCTTCTTGACAAGTTGAAAGTCCATTTCCTCTTGGCAGAAGAACAATATTGCATTTCAGCAAGACCTCGATAAGCTGACTCGTGCAAATTTCTGCAGAATGTGTTTTTTTTTCAGTGTATCAGGTTTTTTTTCAGCATATCTTAACCCTCTACTGGGCAAAGGGCAGGCCTTAAATATGAGAAGTTCAATGCAGACGTTTCCTAGATGGCATGACAGGCTTTTTTTGAAGCTGTTCTCAAGCAGAACTCAACCCTCCCAGCTGTGTGCAGCTAGAGAGCTCCCACAGGGTGAAAATTTGAAAATCTAATAGCAGATTTTAACACGTTACCATGCAGAAAAAAACGTCGGAGTGAGGCTGCTGCAGGAATTGCCTCATACATGGGCTCACCGTGCACGACTGGAGGTGTGCCAGAAATCCTGCTTGAGGGTGGTTTTCCAGAATTTTGGGCAAGGGGCAATATCTAGGGATGAGGCTGAGACAAACCGCTCAATAACAGCTAAAACTGCAGCCACGATTTTCTAACTTTAAGTGCTTAAAATGTCTTGATGCTTCCCTGCTTGCTTAAAAATTCAGAGGAGAGTTTTACTGGGGTGGTTTTGCCAAAGTTAAACTATGTGCTCTGGCACTGGAGGGTCTCAGAGAAGCGTATTGGGCTTCCAGCAGCCCCTGGGACAGGGGAGACGTTATCCATGCAGCACTGTAGATGCACTGCAGGCAGGACAGGAAAGCAGGAGCTAAATATGGACATTAGGGACAAAATCCTGTGAAGGGCAATGCTGTGAATTTACCTCCCATAAAGCCTTAATGCTTTCTGTTTGCTTGGTACAGCTTGGATGCACCATAAATGACACTTTTCTGGCTGATGTTTACTCTAGCAACAGGATTCTCAGGGATCTGTAATGACACATTGACCTGGCTGCATGACAAATGCACAAGAGTCACAGCAGACTGTAATCCTCCAAATATCTGAATGTGTTTCTTGGATGTTCGGTGGGTTTCTAAATAACTTGCTCTGGATGAGGCAATCAGGATGTTCATCAGAACCCCCTAAATGCCAGTGGGAAAGGAACGATGATGAGTAGAGCTGATGAACGTTTTCATAGAATCCTTTAGGCTGGAAGGGACCTTCAAGATCATCAAGTCCAACCATGGAGCCATTAGGTCTCTAAAGTCCTCTGCTCAAACAGATCAGAATCTGTCAGGGCTGGAAGGGACCACAAGGATCCCCCAGGGTGGGGGTCGGGGGGTGTCCAGTGCTGTGATGAGTCTGTTGGAAACAGGGATTGCTACCAAGCTACTATCAAAGTCACTTGGTGCCGTAACTTCACGTTTTTGGCACAGTCCCTTCTGCATGGGCAGTTTTTCTGGTCGTTTCTCACCCTGTGACCCCACAGCCCAGGCCATCTGCTGTTTTTCTGCCTGTGCTGGACCCTTTCCAGCATGTCCTGAACTTTCTTTCACTTCCCCTGTTGTGTTTCACTGAATTCCTCTCTCTGCAACCGCAGGCTCAGACCCTGCAGAATTACAGCAAATGCTGCCAGGTGGACAGTGCAGACCCAAATTTTTAAAAAATAACCCAACTCAAAAAAAAACCCCAAAACCATAATGCCATCCTTCTCCCCCATCCCTCTCCTGCTGGGAAACCACCTCCTGCCCCCGGTGAGGGAGCTGACCTCAGCTGCTCCCTTCAGCCTGGAAACCTGCCCCTGCTGCTCACCCCACCACTTCTGCCGGGAAATCGGTTCCTGCTTTCACCCTGTCACTGCACGGCCAAACCCGTCCCCCGCCCGTCCCC